GTTGCCGTGTGCTGTGCTCCTTATTGTAAACACTGAGGAAAAGATGGCCAGCCGTAGACAGGCAGCATGGGAGGCTGTTAGTATACAGTCCAGATGAGAAGTGGAGAAGGGCCTGAGCTAAGTCTCTCACAAACATAGAAAGGGAAGGGTGCATATGAGAAAGATTTAGAGATAGTGTTAATGGGATTTGGTATCGAGGGTGCTTTTTCCTGAAAATGTAGTTATAACTTTTAGAAACCAAAACCTCTCTGAAATAGAACACAGTTCCACATAAATATTTAATTTCTCACACATTTTAACCATCAAAGAAGTTGTTTTAGGAATCTTTTTCTTGACCATTAAAAATATTATCCAGAAATATCTTTATCAGAAAAATAAGTTTTCACTTCATGACTGACTTACAGTTTAATTCCATACTAGTTTTTACAAATCAGCTCTCTCCCCTACAAATAACCTGTTAATCTCAAGGAATTTTAGTAATCTAGCTAGATAAATTGGGTTTATTCAAAAACTAGAAAATTCTGTTTATCTCACAACTATGTATTTGTGCGTTTACACACGTGAAAGACCTGAAAAGACTTTTCCTTAAAGTGAACTTTGTGGATAAGAAATAAGTAAGAACATCAAAACTGTAGAAGTGTTAAGTTTTTTAATCTTCATGTAAAATTATCTCTGGATTCTGCCATGTGACTTCTACCCTGATTTGAGAAATAAAAGTTTAAAAATTTTGTAACATTCAATGAAAACACATGTGTTTTCTACAACGTTCATGTCAAAAAAAATTCTCATAATTTTCACCAGTGCAGCATACTTTTTTTTTCCTTTTAACTATTTTATGACTGCTTAATAACAACTGTTTTAAATCTTACAGGAGCTTTTAGAATAAGCTGCAAAATTTTATGTAATGACCCTTTCCTTTCTTTTTCTGTTTCTCTCCATACTCCCAACTATACCAGCCCAATATTAATCTGCTCTTGTGCTGCTATTACTATTCAATGTCTCTGTTTAGTTGTAGGACATCTTAATCTTTTTGGAAGTAAGATAGTGTGCATCTGTACATTTACATGCATGAGTATAGCTGTAGCCATAAAAGTCAATTCATTCTTTTTATTATTCAAATAAATATATTTATAAAGTGACACGACAATGAAGTTAGGTGATCAGTACTGAACTCTGAGAGGTCAGGTGGAGTGAATTTTAAGTGCAGTAATCTACAGACTTCCTTAGTCACAGTGTCCTTTCATTTAATCTCTTCTTCAAGGGGAAGCCATTTCTATACCTCCCACAGGCATGTTTAGTAACTCCCCACTGTGGGCTCCCTTAGCATATTGTACACACCTCTTATCCAACCAAGTAGTGTTATTTATTTACAAGTCTATCCCTCTCACTAGACAGAATCCTTTAGAGATGGGATGATGTCTTATTCTTGTTTAGATCCTCTGTGTATATCACTGTGCCTGCCACGTAGTCAACATGCAGTTTATGCTTATCAAATATAATGCCTTCAATCGATGCAATTTTTACAGTTAAGGAATCTAGGAGTCAATTTTGAATGAGAAAATTGCCATAGATATCCTTTTAAAAAGCATACTCAATGTCACATTTAAAAATGGTTTATAAATTGATTTATACACAGCCTCTCAGAAATGTATCCACTTGTACACATCATTAACTTGGATAATTCAGAGCCATTATAATTAAAGCACATTGGGGTTCAAATTTCTTAAGAAATGTTGAGACATAGGAAAAGGCACAGAGTACTATGATTAATATGCACATGCCCACCATCCAGTTTAAGGAGTAAAACATTACCAGTTTAGTTAAAGCACTCCATGTACCTCCTTCCCCCAACCTCATCTTGCTTCCATCCTACCCCACCAGAAAGTGGTGCTGGATTATTTCAGTGCATCACCTCACTCTTTTGCTACCTATGTGTATAACCCTGAATACTATGTGGCACTATTTTCAAATTATTATATGGTTGGTGCCATATTGAACTTTTTCCCCTCGACATTATATTTGTTAGACTCATCCACACTGGTATGTGTAACTCTAGTGTTATGGTTCTTTTCCACTAATAATCACTTAGTCATGTTCCTGTTGATGGACATTTAGGTTGTTTCCAGGGATTTTTAACATTTCAAATGAAGCTAACAAGCTTTAAGAAGTCCTCAATAAGCCAACTCACTAGGGAAGCAAGTCTTCTACAATCTTTAGATTTTAAATTTTACACTAGTGTCTGGGATCTCACAATAAATGTGATAATTACATTTCTGATTATTGAATTAGCTTGGTTTATTTTCATGACTGACCTTAGTTCTAAGGAAAATTGAAAGGAATTTACAGTTAAAAAGAAGACACTTAATCTAAAATAATAAAGACAAATGCTGTGTTATATAAGAAAACCTAGACTAAGATCTCCACCATTTAAGAATATACAAACTGCCCCTTCCCCCAGGTTACCATCCCCCTCAATGCATTACTACACATATTTGAAAGTAGTATTTTCAATATTGCCTTGAATAAGTTAAGTTAATTTTTAACTTAATTTTGATCTCAACTAAAGAGAATAGATTACTGGACTACATACCAAACTGACAATCATCATTTTTTTTTTAAGGTGGTATTGGAGTATGAATTCAGGGCCTTGTATTTGCTAGGCAGACTCTCTACCATTTGGGCCATTCCACTAGCCCCATTGTTTGTTTGAGAAAGGGTTTCACTATGTAGCCCAGACTGACCTTGAATTCTCATTCCTTCTGTCCTGACATATTGAGTGGTGGGATTACAGGCATATGCAAGGCTGGTATTCATCATTTTTTATTATTGTTATTGTTATACATTGTGACATTTACAAAAGTTCTTACACTATATCATAGCTGAATTAACCCCCTCCATCATTCTCCTTTATTCCCACTCCCCCCATTCCTGGAAGTTTCATCAGGTCTCATTTTTCCATTTACATACCATGTGGACAAAATATTTCCACCATATTCACCCTCCTACACCCTGGCATTCATCTTAAACTTGAGAATACCCTTTTGTATAACATTTGGACAAGAAATCAAATGATTGAATTTTTAAAACAAGATGTATAGACAATGGTGAATGACAGACTGACAAGATATTTAGCCATCTGATTTTGTGACAAAACGGTTTTAAAAGGAAGCTCCAACTGTCTTAACTTTGTATCAGTGAAGGAGGTCCCTTGAAATGCAATTGCTTAATCCCTTTATCAGTGTTTGGACAAATTACTAAAATATCTAGCCATCTGAAGGCTTTACCCTGCTTATAAATTATAGCTTTTGGCCTCTACCCAGATTCAGATGTTAGAGATTAGCCTAAAAGCTGAGTCCTGATTGAAGCAGATTTAGGCAGACTAGCTGTTGAGCCTTTCCAATTCACATTTCTGTAATCTATTAGGTTTCATTGAATGAGCACGAGGATGCTATAATAAAAACCTTTGATAAAGGATCCCTCGAGTCAAGGTGCATGCCTAGGGCATCCTGTTTCTCAGTGCATAGAAGTGCTTACGTAAGTTAGGGAAAGATATGCCAATCTCTCGTCAGACTAAACTGGTATTCCTGAGTAAGACTGTCCCATCAGGAAACTGAGTGGCCTGTGTCCAGAGGAGGTATTATTTTTCTTTTAAGTTCTTTGTTTTCATGAAAAGGCTCTTTGATTCTCAGAACTTATTTTTTCCCCAAGGGAATTTAGTTTGAATTCACTCATGCTCAGAATTCTCCTGAAAAGCTTTTGTCTAACATTTACAATGTATGTTTTATAGGCAACCTGCACCTGATGAATTTTCAAAGGGTCTTTCATTTAACACCAGTTTTAATGATCAGAGTTTGGTTTGTAAAACCTATGGGGTTCTATCATATAGAACCTATAATTAGTAGAAATTATATTTTCAAAAGATTTCATAACAAATCTTTCTCAGTTCTATTAAGACACAGTTGCGTAACTGTCACTTTTAGGTGAGGGGGATTCCATTTCGAAGGAATTTGCTTCTTGTAAGCCTTCTTGCAGTAAGATGTGCTGCCATCAGGTGGTAGTAACATGCCACATCTGTGTGGCTCCACAGATGACACTCTACTAAAGGTCACCAGTTCACCCCACAAAGGTTTCTAATTACGAATGTGCAGAATTACATATGGAAATTAAATAACACAGTAATCTGTTACTTTATCAACACTCAGAATGCTTTGGATGGAATTTCTAAAACAGATACATATAAGATTAAGTTGAATGTTTTTCTCTTCTTTGTTCTTTTTTTGGTAAATAAAGCATTTCATCTCATGCCTTATAAGCACTTAGAAAACACAGAAAAGTAAAATTTAAACCTCACATATTTTGATCACCCAAATATAATTGTTATTAACATTTTTGCTTCATTTCCTTCCAGTCTTTTTTTTTTTAATATGAAACTTTTAGTATATTTGGTTTTTGGATTAGTGGTGGATGGCCCCAAAAGTACTTAACTAGAGTGGCATTGTATTTACAGCTTGTTTCTTTTAAAATTACAAGGTCTTTGTAACTACTTCCTGACTTTTTTATATTACACTGGTTAGATATTTCCACAATTTATGTTGTCATTATCTGTTATTACGTAACGTATGTTTCTGATTTTCACAGTCATCAGGAGGAGTATTTTTTTCTCTGCCTTCCATCCATGGCCTATCAAGAGTGCCATTATTGCATAATATATATGCTTGGTAGTTGTTTTAACAAAAGAATTTTTAATTCATCTCTACATAACTAGATACTTAGTATTTCCTCTATTGCAGGTTTTTTTCTGACAGAAAATTGGAACTTTTAGTTTTCAACCAAAGATGAAAATGTATAGTTTCTTTGTTATTATTTTCATATCATGTGTATGTTTTATAACTTGTAAATTTGCACAACCAGATACCACATACAGATATTTTCAGGTGATATTATGAGATGGAACCATTACCTACTTCCTACCAAAATAATTGTTTCCTTTTTTTATATAGCATAGAACATTGCATTAAAGAAATACAGTCCGAAGTTCACAAACACTGTCCAGACGTGCAGCTGCAAACGACGACTGACTGCTTTGAGTGGCTAACTAACTATAATTATAACACATCTAAGTCACCTTCCTTTCCCCATGGAGATTTGATGAGATTCCTCAAAACACTGGTAAAAAAAAAAAGTCTTGTTTTATAACGGAGTGGGGTTGGTGAATAGAGAACAACAGTTCATTCTATTTGTATATGTGAATATGTTAAATATTTATTTTAGTGACAACTTTATCTGCCATACCTAGGGGTTTTGTTTTTGCTTTATTTTGTCCATATATCCCCAAGAGAATCCAATGCATGATTTGTTTTTATTTCCTTAACCATAATTGTTATGATTAAAATCCATGGTAAAAAATAAAACAGATTAAGTATTATAATCCTAGGAAGTTGTGGTGTGAAATATAGCATATCAATGCCCACAGAATGTATTGATGTGTATTGGAGTTGTCTTCCAGGGAAGTTCATATTCATTATATTCACTAATTTTCTCTGTGCTTGGTGTTAAAGACCCCCATTGATTATATCCGTTAAGTGGCCTTATTCCCCAACCTGCAGTAATACCCAACTCTTTTCAATCAAGGCAGCAATTTATACAAGACCATTGCTAAATGACAGAGAATTCTGTTGGTCATTCTTTGATACTGGCCATCCTGTACACTAGAGAAGTTTGTGTAACCTGGAGCAAGAGCAGCTGTTTTATTATACCTACATCCACAAGGGTAGCTTACAAAAACAGATTCCCAAAGGAACAGCACAATTATTAGAAAGCAGTATTTCTGCAGTCATGGTTTTAATTTAATTTAAGGGGAAAAGCGCTGTTTTTGTCTAAACATCAAACATTGAATAAGACAGATGTGGAAAATATCTTGAGGTTGTAGATGGCTTAGGATGACAGAATCAGATGAAAATAGTTTTTGGCTGTTGTTATTATTACAGATGTCCCTTTAATGTTTACAAAGTAATAAAAGGAAGAAAAAGGAAGACTATATGCCCTGAAGCCTTAATCTTTTAAGAAAATCCTCTCACCCATTATCTCTTGAAGGTGGACCCTTGAAGAATAAATATGGATATAGTTATTCCTTTAATTTCTATTAAGAGCCATGTGTATTGAATTTCATTAATATTGATGTAATAATGCTTTCTCATTTAATTAAAAGCAAAAGCTTTTAATTATCTTTTAATCTGTCACACATAAGTCATTCTGTATTCACTGCAGGGCAAAGGCCACCGTAGTTTTGTTCAAACTCATTAGGCTGATAGGCCAGACCTACATGTTTTTGTTTTGTTTTTTTTAACATAATTGATCATGTTGTTTTGAGGAAGGAACCACATCATTAAAACAGATCCAGATTAAAATGACCTTATTATCAAATTTCTGCATGCTAAAAGTGTCAGTTTTGATGGCATTTTTATGTATCTATTTTTTCATACAAAATTTTTATTATCTAGGTATTTAAATAAGAAACAGAGGTTCTCATTATGGAAATTATACTGAAATAATTTTCAAAATTTAAGCACTCACACAAAACACATGTTTTAAACCTCTGTAATCTATAATTCTTTGTTTGATCAAATATTTACAGCTAACTGACTGAAAGGAACCCAAAGCTGAGGCACTAATATGACTCATTTGCCTTATAGAATTTACCTTAGTGTTATGATGTCCTAGACTCCCTCTAAGGACATTTCTTTTCCAGAAGTATCAGAAGAACTAAGTAGCGGAGAGAAGACAGAGGGAAGCTACAGAAAGGTTACGTGCATGTTGTGGTTCTCTAGAGTGATTAGAGAGAGTGCAAATGAAGAGAGTGGAGCCAGTGATCTCTTCTAGGTTCTGGGCCTCATTGTAATGTTTGAAAGCCACTTAAGCATGCTTCACATTCATGTCCTTATCTGTAAATTGGATTTTCATTATGAGTAAATCAGAGAATTTCAGTAAATGCTTTTATATAACAAAACATAGGTATTGGACCTAATTATTACAAATACAACATTAAGTTTGACATTGCAGTGAGTACAATGAAACGAAATTCCAGAAATTTGTCTAGGAATCATTAGTACTTCTGAATTGCACATAATACCTGTGGTATCTTTATCAATAAGCAACTTCAAAGCTAGACTAATTTTTATATCACTTGGGGCTTGCATTACTTTATCTTATAATCAGCTTGTTTCCACTTAGAGAATATAAACTAATTTTATTATTAGCTGAAATACAATTAGGAAAGTCAGCATGCAAAGAGAATGTGTATGTGATTCAATGTCCAAGAAGACAGTAATTTTTGTCCCTTTATTATTCGTGATAATACTCACCATTGTTCTCTATCAGCACTGAAAATATAAAGGAATAATTTCACATCATCTTTTGGGGAGCGATTCTCAAAGAATCTTTATCCATTTTGAGTCAGTTACGTCTTTGGAAAAAACCAAAATATCCTCAGATTAATTTTCAATGTAAAATCTTTCTTAACGTGGTTCCCAGAAAGGAATTTAAATGAAAGTTGAAATTTTTCAATGTATTAAATTTTATTTCTCAGGATGGTAGCTATTAGTAACCCCCTAGTCACATACTATATTTAAAGATTTCTGTTATATTCTAGAATGATTTTAAGCATTGTATGCTCATTTGGGGTTTTATAATAATAAGTACACTCATTTGGACATGAAAATTAACTACCAGGAATTAATTAAGGGGTGTGATCTTGAATTTATTTTATCTTAGGAATACATTTCAATCAATGTTTTACTGTAGGTTTTTATTTAGAATTTTTAAGCTGCTGCAGCGTTTATACAGCTCAGGTTATATCAGTAGTGAGTGACAATAGACTAAAAATTGTGTGTCTAGAAATCTAATTGAACAGATAGTTAATCAGCTGGGGTTTAAAAATGTAACAGACCATAAAAGTTAACACATTATAAGATGTCTGAAAAGCATTTTGAAGACTGTCAGAATATTGATTCTCAATTGAAATTATTATGAAGTTATGTATCTTCAAAAATCATTTTTTCTTATTATACTGAAGATTTAATCATATTTCTAATGTTATAACTTACTTTTATCAGCAAGATTTGTTGAAGAATGAACAAAATCAAGAAGAAATGATACTGGATTTACTTTGGGACCTCTCCTGCCAGAGCAGTGTTTCATTCCCGTCGACTCTAAGTGGAACATCTTTCCATTCCCTCTCAAGGAATTCTCTTCATTCTGTTGAAGATCATTCCTTGGTGGAAGTGAAGTCTATATGGAATGATATAAGACTGCATCTTCGACACTTCTTAGTGAGCAGATTAGAAAGCCATAATGAGATAAACAATTCACAGCAAAAAATTGCATTGAAAAACCAATGCATACAACAACTCTTGTTTCTTTATCCAGAATCGGAAGTTATCACCAAGTACCAAAACATACAAAATAAACTGTTAGCTAAATTTCTGCAAAGCTGCTTTCCTTCTTACAGCAGAGATTCAAATTTAGACATAATAGCTCATGGATACCAAAATACAATGGTTACGTTATACTCAATGATAAAAGAGGATTTTAACACAGTGTGTGAAATTTTAACTCCATCCTCAACAATGAAATTCATTAAAGAAACTTACCTGGATACAATTACAGAAGAAATGGCAAATTTTCTTGAAAATTTTTGTGAGCTGCAGTTCAAAGAAAATGCTGTTCGTGTGGTTAAAACAAGCAAGAGCTCCAGCAAGCATAGAGGAGCAGTGCATGCTTTGGGTTAGTGACATTTCAATTTTCTGTTTGGTTTAACTTAAGCCTTGTGATATCTTTAATTTTCTGGGGGTTTTGTTGTTGTTTAGTTAAATCTCATTGCAAACTTGAAAATAAATGTAATGAAATTTTGTAGCATTCCTTTTTCTGTAAGTATAGTTATAGAAGTGTTTTCTTTTCCTGTTAAATTGATAATGATACTGAAAATGTAAGCCCCAAAATTTGCAAATAAGAGTTTCATTTCTCTTGATTGCATATGACAAATGGGAAAATGTTGGCTGAAACTATAATTGATTTGTATAACAGAAAAGCATAAGTTTTAGTCCATTGTACCTTTCAAAGCCAAAACATCATTAGGTAAATTTGCTGATAATTTGCTGAAATTTGCATTAACTAAAATTAGAAGTTTAAAAATTGTAACATTTTAGTTAGCCAATTCTAATAAAGAGCAATTATGAAGTACTAACTATAAAAGTTCTATTTTAATTGCTTAGCAAGATATATCATTTTGCTAGAAATAATTTTAAAAGTTTCCTTATCTATAAGAATGTATGCAAATAAAAGATGATGTGAAGATTTCTGTGCAAAAGAAAAAAATGAAAGAAATCATTGTGATATAATAAACTTTCTTGTCATGGTTTTAATTTTATACTGGTAGAGAAAATACAAGGTAAAAATATGATTATTTAAAAAATGATCATGAGTCCTGAAACTCTAAGGTTTATTTCCAAATGAATTTCTAAACTATATTATTTAAGTATTCAAAAATTATTATTTGGTAAATTATTATGTATCTTTGAATTTATAGTCATTTAAAAAATTTCCATACCACACTATATTTTTACTTATCTTCATAATTTAAATATCAGAAGACCAAACTAATGTAATGTATGGATTTTCAAATAAGTTAATATTTGTCTTAAAGTTTTCATTTTTCTCTGGAGGTCAGGTCATATCACAGAGCAGCAGTGCTCTATCCTGCTTGCATCATGGCAATAGCTTATAGTCAGTTAATTCAGGAACATTGCAGCTTTGTTCAAAGCAAGTAGACTTTCATTTTAATAGCTGACACCTAAAGTTTTAAGTTCATTTCATGAATGTACTTGTTTCCTAAAATTTGTTTATTTAAAAAAAATTTCCTGCCTACTTATAGAATATTTTCAATATGAAACTTTTATATGTGCTAAATATAGTTTATTACATAGCAATGATCCATATTGCTGAATATATGTGTAAATTGCTGTGGGGTCTTTAGGGCTTGATACTGAGGTGTTTTTCCACTTGTGAGAGAAAAGTATACATGTCCATTTTAACACCAGAATTGGAAATATTTTCCACAATCTAACTATGCTGATGTGATCTTTTTCGAACTTCGTTATCTGAACTTAGGTATAAATCACTTGTTAACTGAGTGCTTCCCACATCCCAGGCACTGTGCTTAGGACAACCCACTGTTATTATCCCAATTTTCTGAGCAAGGAAAGAAGCTTAGAAAGATCAACTTGCCTTAGAGAATGGTGTATGGAGTCAGGATTCATATTCAGAATCAGGATTCATAAGCAAGTCTTTGCGTCTCCAATCCCTGTGTTCTCAACAACCATGGTGTCATAGGACCTTGTCTCAAAGTATAGAATTAAAGGCTTTGTCACCCATAAAAGATATTCCAAGCATCAATGTTCAAGTTGACTGCCTGAAAATAAATTCAACTTTATTGACTCCCTACCATAAGCAAGTCATTTAGCAGCTAATGTGTTGAAAATTCTGAGGTAGACACAGAATTGAAGAAAATGAAATGAGTCACTACTGCTATAGGACAAATACTAAACTAGCTCAAAAGCCCAATCACATTTTTCACTGATATTTGGCCCAATGACCAAATTTTACTTATTAAGAAAACATAGATTTAAGAGCAGCAAAATAATTTATATTCCTATTTGAATAAAATCTAGATTGGCTCAAATGGGCTATGTGTTAACTTTAATATTGGTCTATATCTTTATGCTTATTCACCCAGTCTTTGACATTTACCTATAGAGACTATAGAAAGAACATTCCTTAAGTTGTAACAGCTAACATTTATTGGTTCAGACGGTGATGTGTATTATCTTATTTAATCTTTTAACCATCTGAGAGAGGTCAATACCATTACTATCTTCATTATTCACTGAGGAAACTGAGATATAGGGATTTTTCAGTGATTTCCTCAAGGTCACAGAGTGTAGTCAGAACTCAGTTCACATCTGTCTGACTCCAGAGCCCTTGCTCTATGACGATGCTCTATTAACCAAACTCAGGATGGGAACAGCACATCCATTTAAAGCCACTTCTCTGAGTCCTCTGTATGCTTTCTCAGTGTCAATGCTATCAATGTTTTATTCTTCCAACTATCCCACACTTCTCATTTGAAAATTACAGAATCCCAATTTGAGAGAATTTTTTGCTTATAGTTCCTCCATAGTGGTCTATTAATGTATATTAAGTGGGATTTGATGTCAGCTATAGTCCTAAGAGCTTTGTGCATATATCTACCTTGTTCTTGAGTTAAGACAGTTGGGACCTACTGAATCTTTAATTTTCTCTGGTTTTGTATTTAGATTGAAGATTGATTGTTCTTCCCTGAATTGTCTATAAATTCTGTCCATAATACTTGAGCATCAAAGAAAATGATTACTGCTTATTATTATGTATAAGACTTTATAAGACATTATATATATATGAGTTCATTTAATCTTCTGAACAACTTTTTACATTATTCACACCTTATTTATGGGAATTGTGAGACTCAGAGAAGGGAATACTTCCCATGGCCATCCAGTTAATAAGCCAAAGAAAGGGGTTTCCTCTGTTTGCAATGATTTGGTATTTTAACTTTTTTCTGTGTATTGAACTCAGGGCCTCATGCATGCTAGGTGAGTGCTCTACCACTGAGCTACAGCCTCCTGGCCTGGGGTATCATCTTGATATACCACAAAACTGCCCAAAACAGTACAAGATGCTATGATTCTTAGCATTAGAAAAATCATTTACCAAACACTTCTACATTTTCTCCTTTGATTTTCACATTCCTGTGTTCTATGTAGTACTCATTAAATGTTTTCATTGCCAATGATTCCTAATTGACTTATGATTTGCTTGTGCTTGTTAACTTAGAAACTGATTAGGGCTAGTTTTTATGCTATCCTGTCCTGTCCTGTCACGTCCTGCCCTGCCCTGCCAGTTGAACCTTTTATTTTCTTCACTGTACCACTGTTGAGAATACTAGCAAATGATGTTTCTAACCAGCCTTTGTCCCCATTGCTTTATCTTCGGCACTATTTTCCAGTGAAATAGTGTTCCTTGTCCACAATTACTTGCTCCAAGAGAAAAGGTAAAAGGTACAGCATGATTGTGAGTCAGGTATGCTGGTCCTGACTGACTTACATGCCCCCTGGCTTCCTGACCTCAGAGAAATCATTTAACCTCCTTGAGTCTTTCTATTCAATAAAGTGAAAGGATTGTATTAGTTAATATCTTATGGGTCCTTATAAGTCTAAACTTTTTCTGACTGTAAGTGATCACAACCAGAGTTTAGGCCTACAATTTGGCATTGGAAACTACCACCATATTTATTCTCTCTACTGAGATACAGATGTATTAACTGGCTGAGCATGTAGCTGTTGAATGTCACCATAGAAGAAAGAAAAGCTTCCTTAAATTCTCTCTGTGCCTGTGTGAATTTTTTTCTCTATGTGATACTTGGAAATAACAACATGAAAAGTGCCCATCTCTTGTTCTTGCTTTTTTTATGAAGGTGAAGAGGTAGGGAGGGGGTAGGTAACCCAGAAGAAATGTGATGTACCATTTCTCCTTCCAACTTACATCTGAATCTATCCCTAGTGATTCTTTTTTGGCCTTTCCCTTTAATCTCATAACCAAATTTGTTTTGCTTTTAGTTCCCCATCTTTATTTTTTATTGGAGGATCTTTAAACAGATAATTGAATATTAAGATCACAGATGTGAATTAGAAATGCATTTATTATTCTGTATTGTTGATTGAAAAGAAACCCTCATGTCTTTTATCTGGCATTTATTTAAATCAGGCCAGGTAGGATTTAGTAATGACATGTTTTGCCCAGGGACAAACCAGTTCATTTCTGAGAGCCATAGACAGTAGGCAAGGACAATACTTTATCACAAAAAGCATCACTGGATCCATATAAAGCCCTGTATGAGTATAAAATGAAAGCACAGAAAAAGAGTGATCTTGTCCTACAAGTCTGTAGGTAAGAATTTCACAAGTGAAACAATTACACTGTACATGTCAAACTTTTACAAATAATCTTAGTGTAGCTTTTCAACATGTAAAAAAAAGTGAAAAGTGATGTTTTAAGTTTTAGCAGAATTGGTCTTAAAGCATTTCCTCTGATAACAGGCATGATGTGTGCCTTCTTCAGCCTTCTAGAATATTGCAGGATGACCATGCCATGAGCAGGAAAAGGAGACTTATCTTCTCTCTCACTGGATGAGAGGTCATCTCCCTTCACCATGATAAAAATTCTCAGAGTGATCTACTAAGGCAAGGGTAAAACTTAGAACTACTTATTTTTATTTCATCCTCTTTAAAGGAGACGGTACAGGACATATGCTTCATGAAATTTAGGATAGCAAAGTCATTCCCAGACATTCTGATTCTTGAGTTTTGATAAGGCACAAGTAGCTTAGAATTTATTTTCTAGAAAAATTCTTGAATGAAGTCTGTTATTTGCAAGGGGCTGCTACTCAGAACATAAATTCAATGTTAATTTTTCACAATGTTTTCCCCGTTGATGATCTTCTCTTTCTGTAATATCCATTTACAAGTATAGAAAGTCAGTTGTATAGAGGATAATGTTTTGGCATGCCTTAAATTTGCCAAGCATCACACTGAGCACCATTTTATTTTTTCAACACCTCTAAAATTTGGATATTATCCCTGTCTTATAGGTACTCAGCCTGAGGTTTGGACAAGGTAGTACTTTGCCCAAAG